GGCTTCAGAAGCCTCCTGGAGGGCCATCACAGCCGAAGACTGGAAGCGCAGATCGGTCTTGAAGTCCTGGGCAATCTCACGGACGAGGCGCTGGAAGGGCAGCTTGCGGATGAGCAACTCGGTCGATTTCTGGTAACGACGGATTTCACGAAGTGCGACAGTTCCTGGGCGGTAACGATGGGGCTTCTTCACACCTCCGGTGGCTGGTGCCGACTTGCGTGCTGCCTTGGTGGCCAGCTGCTTGCGAGGAGCCTTTCCTCCAGTGGATTTGCGAGCGGTTTGCTTGGTACGAGCCATTGCGGGTGTCCTGAGTGAACAGTACGTGTGACGGTTGCTGGCCGCTTATATTCATTTCTGCAGGATTGGGCGGAGACTGCTTCGCCCTCCACCTGCGCTTATCTGCCTATTAGCGGCAATGAAGGGTCAGAGGAAACTCAAATATAAAGGGTTATAGGAGATTGTGCTTTAATGTTATCCACAACTTCAGGCACTAATATTTTCACTAACTGTTACTGTCATTGTTAAATTTAGTGATCGTTATAGGCACTGCTAAATAAGTTAAATTATTGAGTTTGCAAGACTTTTCATGGCTTTTTTCTGACGTTCATTTCTTTGCTTTCATATTATACTATATAATATTATACTATATTATAATTGAGCAAATTTATTGGCTGAAACCTTTTTTCTGCCTCACCATTCAGAACTTTCTCCATTGCCCAAGTCATTTGCAGTCGCTTCCCTTTTTGAGTTAAGAAACGAAATGTTACTTTAAGAAAAACAGCGTTTTTGGTAACTAATTTTTTTTGTATAAATTAACGCGACTTCTTGAAATTCATTTGAAAAGTAGTTGCATTCGACCTAATAGTAAGTCAATATACCATATGTGATATTGGCCCTCCTCCCATTTTTAAAAGATACCATTGCAACAAAATCGCAAGGCCTCCTTTCGAGGAAGCCGTTCTAGCATTTCTTGAGAAACACTTTGTTATCAAAAGTTCTCTCTTGCCTTATGGGAATGTTGGAATTTGACCGGAGGATTCACATGGTTTGAAACAAGGTCTGCAGAATACAAAGTGTTAGAAAACCTTTGAATAGTCTCCTTTAAATTCGAATTAACTGCCATGTATAGAGTGTCTTGAAGCCAGTGCTTGACTAACAGATAGGGAGCCATTTTAGCATTACTACAAGACATAGCATCTTCACATAAATGTGTTCGCAAAATTTATGCCTCTTTCGAGAGCAACGACTGACAGATGTCTAAAATGCATTTCCTATCATACTGACATTCCATTTCTCAGCTAATAGTCAGAATAAAATCAGAGTTACAATAGCGATGGACGCTTTTGCGAAGTTACAGGAGAATGGCTTACTATATACAAAATAGGTCAAAAAAGGTTATGAAATATTGCGAAATTTTGAAAAATCGCATTGAAATATGCGTCAAAAAAAAGTCACGGAAAATTATTTAAAGCCATATAATAGCATGATGAGTTCTGATATACTGTCTTCCATAAGAATTATGAGCGATGGATATTTAATAGGACTTTTGTGAGGTATAACACCTTTACAAAGAGACTGACTCCAACGCACCTTTTACATAGATTATTTAATTAGGTTCTACATCGAACTTTTGAAATTATAAAGTTTTGTTGGCTTCAATCTCACTTGAATTTGTTTTCTGTATTCTTCACGTTTAGTAGCTATGCATAACTTCGATGTCAACCAAACAAGGGACAGAAAACCTTTCGCTTTCAAAGACTCTGGAGATTGAAAAACTTCGAATGAACTTTTTAGCTGAACAATCTTTCTTTCTAAAAGATATTCAAAAGGTGAAAATACATATTTTATGCAATTTGTGTTGACAAGTAACACAAAATAATCCACAAAATAAAAGGACTGTAGTCAACTACGATACTTGAAGACTGTAGAGATTCCTGCCGAGAAAGCACGAATAACACTAACTATTCCAAAACTTCAGATAAACATGTATAAAGATTCCTCTTTGTTGTAAAAAACAGAACAAAACACTATTGTAAAGATTCCTCTTCGTTACACTCTAAAAAACAGAACAAAACACTATTAGACCAAGCAATCGATAATATGAAACACTTATTTATTCAACTATCACGGTATTCTCAAGTAATTGTGGCCCTAAAGAGGGCCGTTGGGTTAGATTTAGCACACGAGTGCAGACAAGGTGTTTATTCCTTGTC